GAAGTGGGCAAACAAAAAGAGGGGTAGACCACCCACGGAATGGGTCAAGGTTGTAGAGGACGTATGGAAGGGGCTCGACATCGACGAAGATTAAACGCTGGAAACGGAGGGTCTACAGGGGTTCAAGGAGAAGATATCTGTTGCTTGTGCCGAAACGGAAGAACAGAATCTAAGGAAAGAATCCAAGGATAAGGAGGGTCTAGAAGTGTACGGAATGCTGAAGTAAGGAAAAGGGTTCAAGGATTACCTACATGAACCAATGGATGCAGGAACAAAGCTTAAGGTCAAATTCAGGACCGGGCACATAGGCCTTCGAGAACGTCGACGAAGACATAAGACGGTAGACGACGAAGACGACGAGTTCAAATGTGATTGCGGCTTCGAATGCGAAGACCGTGTTCATGTAGTCGCGGAATGTCCGTGGTACAAGAAGGAGAGGGAAGTGTACGTGACCGAGCTGGGAAAAATAGATGGGACGCACAGGGAGATGTTTGAGGCATGGACTAGAGAGGAAAGGACGGTAGGTGTACTGGGGCATAGGAGGTGGGTTGAAAAGGCGGGAAGGGATACCGTTAGGATGGACAGACCAGGGAAGATATTTTTGAGCCACCTTTGGCAAAGTAGAAAGGAACGATTGGCCATCGGTGATCGGTCCTGTGGGAACAATGCTCCGTGCTCTCGAGGACGCGTGGTCAATGGTCTAACCGCTAAGGCAGGCATGCAAAACATAAGAGTGTGCGTCCCCCCCATCTCTGGCGTCGCCTCCTTACTCCACTTTGGTGCAAACCACACGCATTGCCCCGGATGTGACACAGGAGGGGGTACTCACGCCGGGCTTTTTTTCTTATTTTTATCTTCTTTTGTCCCCACCTACCTCCTGCGGTGCGTGCCTGAGACATATCGTATCCGCTGTACGTAACAAACCACAGACGGCTGCGGTGCAAAAAACAAATAATGGGGAAATGTTCTTTGACGGAGGGGGGAGTCATAGGAAAGGTGCGGAACGTATTGTACGATCTGTTTCCCACTCTTATGGAACATGGCCATCCTGAGCCTTCCATCCATTAGTCATCAAGGCAATGCTGCTGGGAGTGGTCGCCACCTTTGCGAGAGATGAAGCGGGTTCCTCGCTGTTACAGCATACGCGATGAAAGACAACATCGTTCTGCATCTATCTCTGCAATTCTACGCTCACCGTTGTCATTGGAATTGAAATTCAGTAGCCTGAGGACTGCCTGCCTTTGCTTATCTTTCAGTGAGCTAGGCAGCGACCCGAAGGCTCCAGTCATTGCCGCCATCGTTAACCGGCGCGTGTGTCCTCGTGTACAGCTTGCTACTCCGTGCCATGTGGGCCGGGGAGGTGCGGAGGGTGATGCTGTGGGGGCACCGTTGAGACTATTGGGGTATGTGGCGGGGTTTGTTAGTAGGCTCTTGAGGCCGTTGTGTCGCGTGCCAGCACAGCAGCGACTATCGCGCCGCATGTGCCTCTGTAGCGTATAATCCACTCCCTCTTACACCTGCTAAATCTCACCCAGGCAGGACTCGCCCTTC